ATTGCAGAGCCATTGGCCATTATCTTTGAAAACTCGTGGCGAACCGGGGAAGTCCCGGATGACTGGAAAAAGGCTAATGTAGTGCCAATCTTTAAAAAAGGGAAGAAGGAGGATCCTGGGAACTACAGGCCAGTCAGCCTCACTTCAGTCCCTGGAAAAATCATGGAGCAGGTCCTCAAAGAATCAATCCTGAAGCACTTGCATGAGAGGAAAGTGATCAGGAACAGCCAGCATGGATTCACCAAGGGAAGGTCATGCCTGACTAATCTAATCGCCTTCTATGATGAGATTACTGGTTCTGTGGATGAAGGGAAAGCAGTGGATGTATTGTTTCTTGACTTTAGCAAAGCTTTTGACACTGTCTCCCACAGTATTCTTGTCAGCAAGTTAAGGAAGTATGGGCTGGATGAATGCACTACAAGGTGGGTAGAAAGCTGGCTAGATTGTCGGGCTCAACGGGTAGTGATCAATGGCTCCATGTCTAGTTGGCAGCCGGTATCAAGTGGAGTGCCCCAAGGGTCGGTCCTGGGGCCGGTTTTGTTCAATATCTTCATAAATGATCTGGAGGATGGTGTGGATTGCACTCTCAGCAAATTTGCGGATGATACTAAACTGGGAGGAGTGGTAGATACGCTGGAGGGGAGGGATAGGATACAGAAGGACCTAGACAAATTGGAGGATTGGGCCAAAAGAAATCTGATGAGGTTCAATAAGGATAAGTGCAGGGTCCTGCACTTAGGACGGAAGAACCCAATGCACAGCTACAGACTAGGGACCGAATGACTAGGCAGCAGTTCTGCGGAAAAGGACCTAGGGGTGACAGTGGACGAGAAGCTGGATATGAGTCAGCAGTGTGCCCTTGTTGCCAAGAAGGCCAATGGCATTTTGGGATGTATAAGTAGGGGCATAGCGAGCAGATCGAGGGACGTGATCGTTCCCCTCTATTCGACATTGGTGAGGCCTCATCTGGAGTACTGTGTCCAGTTTTGGGCCCCACACTTCAAGAAGGATGTGGATAAATTGGAGAGAGTCCAGCGAAGGGCAACAAAAATGATTAGGGGTCTGGAACACATGAGTTATGAGGAGAGGCTGAGGGAGCTGGGATTGTTTAGCCTGCAGAAGAGAAGAATGAGGGGGGATTTGATAGCTGTTTTCAACTACCTGAAAGGGGGTTCCAAAGAGGATGGCTCTAGACTGTTCTCAATGGTATCAGATGACAGAACGAGGAGTAATGGTCTCAAGCTGCAGTGGGGGAGGTTTAGATTGGATATTAGGAAAAACTTTTTCACTATGAGGGTGGTGAAACACTGGAATGCGTTACCTAGGGAGGTGGTAGAATCTCCTTCCTTAGAGGTTTTTAAGGTCAGGCTTGACAAAGCCCTGGCTGGGATGATTTAACTGGGAATTGGTCCTGCTTTGAGCAGGGGGTTGGACTAGATGACCTTCTGGGGTCCCTTCCAACCCTTATATTCTATGATTCTATGATTCTAAGAATTTATACGAATTTAAAATTTCAAATGGAAGAAGAAATTATTTATTGGCGAAATGTAATGAAGAGGATTGTAGCAGGGGTAGGGAAACTTTCAAGCAGAGGACTTGCATTTAGCGGTAAGATGGAAAAATTTGGATCACCTTATAACGGCAATTACATGATGGCCCTTGAGCTTGTCAGAGAATTTGATCCATTTTTAGCAAATCACATTGCACGTTACGGAAATGAAGGTCGAGGTAACGTATCTTATTTTTCATCCTATATATATAATGAATTTATAAAAATCGATGGCTTCAAATGTGATCTCAAATATTATTAAAGAAGTAAAAGAAGCCAAATATTTCTTGATAAGCATTGACTCAGCTCCCGACATATCTCATGTTGATCAATTGGCTTTTATACTGAGATATGTAAACGATGATGACATACCAGTAGAGAGGTTTCTTTGTTTTTTACCAAATACTGGCCACAAATCAGAACAGTTAGCTGATGCTGTACTTTCAACTGTGAATTGTTATGGATTAGATATCGCAACTGCCGTGGCCAGTCGTATGACAATGCCACTAATATGTCTGGTGTATATAGCGGGTTGCAAGCAAGAATAAAGACTATAAATCCTTATGCTGTGTGTGTGCCTTGCTCTGTGTATTCTTTAAATCTGGTTGGAGTATGTGCAGCAGAAAGTTGTCAAGAAGCATGTTCATTTTTCTCAACTGTCCAACATCTTTATTCATTTTTTTCTGCCTCTAATCACCGGTGGGAGATTTTACTATCTAATTTGAAGCCAGGCAGTAAAGTAATAAAAAGACTTCCTGAGACTCGATGGTCATCTCGAGTGGAAGCTTGTCATAATTTGAGTGAAAACTGGAATGCTATTAATTAAAGCCTTAAATACAATAAAGGAAGATGCTACCTGTTACATGTAATGAAGCTGCAGGCCTTCAGTGAAAACTCAATCGACTTGAGGCAGCTTTTATGGCTATATTTTGGAGCTCACTCTTGGATCAATTTCATATAACTAGCCAAAAACTGCAAAATGTTAATATTGATATACAGACAGTTGTAGAACTCTACAACTCACAAATAGGATACATTAACTCTATATGGGACTTGTTTGATATGTATGAAGAGAAAGCCAAAGAAAAATCTGAAACTGAAGACTACAAATTTGACACAAGGCGAAAAAGAAAGCGTAAACTTCAATCTGATGAGACCCGTGAAGGTGAAGTGGAAATGTATGGTAGAGATAAATTTAAAGTAGATACCTTTTTAACAATACTAGACCTTGTATGCGCTGAATTAAAACACAGAAGTAATGCATATCAAGAAATTTATGGCAGATTTCAGTTTCTCTCTAATGTTACCAATACTTCAACAACAGATATAACAGGAGAGTGTGTGGCGGGGGGGAAGAAAACCTGGATTTGTGCTGGAAATGGCCCACCTTGATTATCATACACATCGTAAGGAGAGTGATCACTTTACATAAGCTATTACCAGCAGGAGAGCGGGGTGGGGGGAGAGAAAACCTTTTGTAGTGATAAACACCCATTTTTTCATGATTTGTGTGTATAAAAACAAACATCTTCTGTATTTTCCATAGTATGCATCTGATGAAGTGAGCTGTAGCTCACGAAAGCTTATGCTCAAATAAATTGGTTAGTCTCTAAGGTGCCACAAGTACTCCTTTTCTTTTAACAGATATAACCGTTCACGCTAAAAAATTAAAGCTATGCTACCAAGGAGATTTAGAAGAATCATTTGTGAATGAATGTCTACATTTTCGATCGTATTTGGAAGGTGTCAAAATTCCTGAAAATGAAAAGAAGTCAATTTTAAGATATTGCAGCCTTCTTTGAAATCGAAACATTCATTCAGTATATCCAAATATTGATATTGCCTTCCGAATGTTCATTTGCACACCTGCTACAAACTGTTCAGCGGAACGATCATTTTCGGCATTAAAAAGGGTGAAAAACTATTTGAGGGCTAATCTCAGTGAAGAAAAATTAAACTCCCTTTCTCTCCTGACAATTGAAAAGGATCTACCAACTTCTCTGGATTACACAGAATTAATTAATACGTTTGTCGCTCAAAGGTATAGGTGTAAACAAATGTAACTACTTACTATTCACATACTTATATTTCTTTTATTGTATCTACACAAAAAAAATATTTGATATACACCGGACCCCTGCTTGAACGCAGGGTTTTGGATCCATGCGCGGTCACGTGCTATAAGTGATATTGCGCTATACAGACGCACGTTCAAGCGGGGGTCCGCTGTACTTGTAATTTTATTTATAATAAAACTTGTAAATGTTCAATTATTTTAATGATATTTAGATTCATTTTAGTTCAAATGAATTTGTAAAAAAACTAAAACAAGTTCATAAGGGGCCGGGCGCAGCAATTATTTCAGGGCCTAGGGGCAGCAAAATCATTAATCCGCACGTAACATTAATCCCCCGCTAGCACGGGGCTCCTGGCATCATCCAGCCTTGGAGATGCAGGCTAGATCAGGGGATTCATCACTGGCAAGGTCATGGGTGTTGGAGATGGAGCTTGCATTGATTGGTGTCAATATTAGTTCATGTAGCTCTGTGCTGCCGGCTTTGGGCCCATGCCTAGCTAATGTTCCCAGGCAGTGGACAGGTGCTAGATGGCTGGAATCTGATTTCTTAGATCTGCTCTCTTTTGGTGCTAAGGCCTGGTTGAGTCCTAGGAGTGGGTAGAGCTGGAGCAGTCAGTCCTGGGAGTAGTGGTGGGTGTGCTGCAAGCATGATACTAGGCAGAGTCCATTCCAAGCAGAGGAGGGAGTTCATGGCATTAGACACCCATTTCCTTGCTGCACTTAGCTGGCTTTCCAGGGGTGCAAGGGAGACAGCACTTCCAATGTAGCATGTGAGTTTCAGCTGTAAAAAAAGCCCTCCTGGCCAGAAGGTGATGGCAAAGCCTGGAGAAGCAGGACTGAGGCCCAGAGTTCCTTCCATATAAGAGAGGCAGTGTCCTATGGGAGCCTGAGCCCAGGTCGGGGTTCTGTGCTGGAGGGAGAAGTCACAGCCTCACTTTCACATTGTAGCAATTCTATCTGGTGCTGGAATTTCCTCAAGTGCAGGGAGGTTTCTCCCACTGTGGCGGGGTGAGTGTGCTGCCGAAAGCCACGACAACTGAAGGTGCAACATGGAGGTGGCACCCAAGCAACCTTAACTCTTCCCCCCAAGGAGTTCAGCCTCCCACCTGCCTCGCGTCCTGTAGTGTATGCCCCTCGCAGCATTGGTTGGGTAGCTGGTGTCACACAGACAGTTCTTTGACGCTAGTTCGATGAATTGCCACCACACTGATCTGTGCTCTGACAGCATGATCTGGGCACCAAGGTAGCAGTTAGGGAAGCAGATCCTTGCACCTCCCTCCCAGAAGGTAACACACAGGGCTTCTTGCCAGCACTAGCCCGACATGGGGCAACCTGGGACAGTCCTAACAGGGCCCATGCTGATTCGTTCCCCAGGGAGGAATTCTGTGAAATATTCCGGGCCAAAGAGAAGACGACAGGAAAGCTCTACACGTGCAAGAAGTTCCTGAAGAGAGACGGGCGGAAGGTGCGGAAGGCGGCCAAGAATGAGATCATCATCCTCAAAATGTGAGTCACTGTACCTTCCCATCCTGGGGATTGAGCGTGAAGCTCTCAGCATTAACGGCATGAGTCGCTGCGTATACTACAGGAGTAACTCTGTTAGCTAGCAGCTGTAATAGACTCTTATCCTCTTCTGCGGACCAGCCAATGGAGGGGGACAAATGTACCAGTGGGAGCTACGTCTGCTGAAGCCATGACACAACCTGACCAGGCTCTGCTAACCCGGTCTCCTTCTAATGGGCCCCCTGCTCAGAGCATTCCTGCTGACAACAGGCCTCTTCTACATGTAACTGCACTTGTCCATCTGTGGGCCCCCAACATCGCCTGCTCCAATGCTGGGAGGGCTGGGTAGGGCAGCCCCACGGCTCCTTTTGTTGTGCCTCTGGTCCCTTGGGCCAAGCTGACCTAGCACTACATCTTGCTCACAAGCTGACCTCTGTGCGTGATCAGTGCCAACTTATAGAAGAGCCCTTTCTTCTTGGGACATGCCCACAGTACCCTTTGACAGTCAATGGGTACTCTTTGCCTCCCCCACTGCAGGCAATATAGCAGGGACTGAGAGGGGAGACAGGGTGTGTGTTACAGCGGGGAGATGAGGCTAGACACAGAGGGTAGCCTGAGTTGCCCCTGCCCATGTGGCTATGTGGCCAGGCGAACCCAGTGCTCCCCTCCCTTGGGTGCTGGCAGTTGGCTTCATCCCCATGCCCCCTTCTACTGGACTTGCAGTGCATGTTGCCCAGCCCCAGCTCCCCAGCAGGCATGGCCAGGCCTGGTGCCAGGCTCCAGGTTGGGTTAAGGTGGGCACAGAGGGGAAGGTCTGACCTAGGCCTCCAGCCAGTCCGAGGCAGAGTCCAGCTGGTCCAGCCCCCAGGCCAGCCTGACTCAGAGGTGGGGGCACCAGGGGGTCCTAGCAGAGTTTGGGGCTGCGGTGGGATCCCTGGCCCCCACCCACCAGTCTCCGTCCTGCTGCTGGGTGGGGCCAGTTGGTTTCACCCTCCCTCTCAACCAATCAGGCAGCCTCTGTGCCTCCAGCTCCTCCCCCTCCTCCAATGGGAGACCCTGAGGGACTGGGGGAGGAGCCAGAGGAAAGGGTGCTGAGCAGCTGGCAGAAGAAGCTGGCCACAACTGAGTGAGGAATCTTGCCCAGCCTGTACAGTGCTCGGCGTTCTCCCTGCCCTGTCCACTGTGTTGTACCCAGCTCTCCCGCGGCTTGGCCTCCCCAGTCTTCTCTCCCCTCTGACCTGCATGGCTCCCACAAGAGCCTCCAGTGCCTGCCCTGCCCTAGTGGGAGCAGAGCAGGGGGCAGAGTCTCTGTGTCCTGGCACAGACAGGTACCCCAGTGACGTGGTGCCATGCTGGGCAGAGTCCGCTAACCCCATGTTCTCTTGCTCTGTGCTCCCAGGGTGAAGCACCCTAACATCCTGCAGCTGGTGGACGTGTACGTCACCCGCAAAGAGTACTTCATCTTCCTGGAACTGTAAGTCAGTGCTGCCTGGTACCCGGCAGCTGTGAGATTGGCCCCAGCCGGCTCTGACAGGGCCCCTGCCCCTCCCCAGAGAGACCCTGGCTCTGGGGTCCCAGAGGGAGCTTGCTATGGCTGTAATCCCTCCACTGCTGCTCCCCAGACACGTGTCTGGGGCAGCCACACCAGACGCCCCCTGGGTAATTCCCAGAAGCCCCTTTCTCCTTCTGGGAGGCTCTGTTTCCATGCAGATCTGCCCCACAAAGCTGGCCTGGCTCCCCTCCTGGGACTGCTCTTGCCCCATGGCCAGATGCTGTACTCATTAGCAGGTCAGTCTAGAGGCAGCTGCTGCTTAGAATTACAGCTCAGCTCTGAGCTGAGGACTGGCCATGCGCCACAGCCAGGGCAGCTTATGGCTGGCAGCACAGGGCTTGTTGATTTCCATGTACAGAGGGCTGGAGTTCTCAATTAACACAGGTCTGGGACCCTTCTTTATCACACAAGCCATACAGGAGAAAGAACCATGCTGGGAAGGTCAGGGGATCTGTGGTGACTCTGTGGAGGCTGATTCATGTTCCTCACCAGATTCAGCTGCAGCCTGCTATGGGGAGCTGTCAGGAATGCTCAAGCCCCTGCTGTGAGCATGCTTCTTGGGTAGGCGTGGCTTGGCCAACTTCACTGAAACTCTTGACAGCAGGGGCCTGGGGGGTTCAGCTGAGCACCCAGAAATGCAGAGGCTGCTCCATAGCATTACCTGCAGCTCTAAGATCCAGCACTCTGATGAGATGCACACTGTGTCCTGCCTCTGGCTGGGCTGGACTCCTGGACAGCTCCTCTTCCCTTGCCATGCTTCCTGCTTTTCCTAACCAAGCCAAGGACCCAGCTGCCTCTGCAGCCTGGGGCAGCTGCTGTTGTTGGATGGGGAGGGTTCTGAGACCCTGCAGTATCTGGGGTGCTCATGTGAGTCTTGGAGTGCTCCAGCCATAGCTTGGGGAGTGTTGGGTGCAAGGCCTGCCCCTCAGGGCAAAGGCCTGACCCTGCTGCTCTCTCAGGTGTGGGCTTTGTCCCCCCACTGCAGGGCCACAGGCCGGGAGGTGTTCGACTGGATCCTGGATCAGGGTTATTACTCTGAACGGGACACCAGCAATGTCATCCGACAGGTGCTGGAGGCCGTCGCCTACCTGCATTCACTCAAGATTGTGCACAGGAACCTCAAGGTCAGTCAGCCAGCTCCCCCACTGGCCTGCATGCCCCGGGACAGTCTGTTACCTGCACGCCCCATCTGCCCTTGCAGCCCCCAGCCATCACAAGCAATTGAGCTTTAATGTCGCTCCCCACTCTCATACCTCTCCAGGGGACGGGGCTCTGGGGGGGCACCTCACTGTGCTCCCCAGTAGATGCTGCTCAGCCCCATAGCCTGGCTCCCTGCTGCAGGCTGGTTCGTGGCTCCCTGGCCTGGTGTGCCCAGCAGTGTAGCTTCTCTATATGGCAAATGGCCTCTTCTCTGAGCCATTCTCCCCTGGGGCAGGATGGGGTGCTGGCTGATCCACAGAGCCCTGGGTGAGATGCACCTTGGTGCCCAGGGCATTATCAGGCCCTGGTGGGCATGAGGCACAAACACCCCCACCCCAAACACACACACACACACACACACAGCAGTGTGCCCATCCCTGGGCTGGGTTGTGCTCTCTCCTTCCACTCCTGCCTTTCTTTCGGTATGGGGACCTGCAGCTGGAGAACCTAGTGTATTACAACCGCCTGAAGAACTCCAAGATCGTAATCAGTGACTTCCACCTGGCAAAGCTAGAGAACGGCCTCATCAAGGAGCCCTGTGGCACCCCAGAGTATCTAGGTAAGAAACAGTGAGGTGGGCATCGGGGGGCATTTGGCAAGGGGCAGCAAGGGACAGACTAGGCAAGAGAGGGCACAAAAATGAAATATTTTCTGCTCAAAAACCAAGGGTGTGCCACAGAGTGAGAAGCTGCCCCCAGAGCCTGCACCAGGGGCTCAGTAATCTAGGCTGGTCCTCCCCACGCCACCCCCCATCCCCGGCCCAGGGGCTGCCCCAGAGCCCCTTCCAGCGGCTCAGGAATAGTTAAAGGCTGGCTTGTGCCCTGAAGCATGAGGGCTGAGGTCCCTTCCATCCTTTTGCTTCTCCCACCCAAGGGCAAAAAGAAAAGGAGTACTTGTGGCACCTTAGAGACTAACCAATTTATTTGAGCATGAGCTTTCGTGAGCTACAGCTCACTTCATCAGATGTATACCGTGGAAACTGCAGCAGACTTTATATACACACAGAGAATATGAAACAATACCTCCTCCCACCCCACTGTCCTGCTGGTAATAGCTTATCTAAAGTGATCAACAGGTGGGCCATTTCCAGCACAAATCCAGGTTTTCTCACCCTCCACCCCCCCCACACAAATTCACTCTCCTGCTGGTGCTAGCCCATCCAAAGTGACAACTCTTTACATAATCAAGTCGGGCTATTTCCTGCATAGATCCAGGTTTTCTCACATCCCCCCCACCCCCATACACACACAAACTCACTCTCCTGCTGGTAATAGCTCATCTAAACTGACCACTCTCCAAGTTTAAATCCAAGTTAAACCAGAACATCTGGGGGGGGAGGGGGGTAGGAAAAAACAAGAGGAAACAGCCTGTTTCCTCTTGTTTTTTCCTACCCCCTCCCCCCCCAGATGTTCTGGTTTAACTTGGATTTAAACTTGGAGAGTGGTCAGTTTAGATGAGCTATTACCAGCAGGAGAGTGAGTTTGTGTGTGTATGGGGGTGGGGGGATGTGAGAAAACCTGGATCTATGCAGGAAATAGCCCGACTTGATTATGTAAAGAGTTGTCACTTTGGATGGGCTAGCACCAGCAGGAGAGTGAATTTGTGTGGGGGGGTGGAGGGTGAGAAAACCTGGATTTGTGCTGGAAATGGCCCACCTGTTGATCACTTTAGATAAGCTATTACCAGCAGGACAGTGGGGTGGGAGGAGGTATTGTTTCATATTCTCTGTGTGTATATAAAGTCTGCTGCAGTTTCCACGGTATACATCTGATGAAGTGAGCTGTAGCTCACGAAAGCTCATGCTCAAATAAATTGGTTAGTCTCTAAGGTGCCACAAGTACTCCTTTTCTTTTTGCGAATACAGACTAACACGGCTGTTCCTCTGAAACCACCCAAGGGCAGAATTTCTGACCTGGAAGAGGTGGCCAAATGGGATCCATGCACATTCTCCTGAGCTCTTCCTCACCTGCCTGCCCCATTCCTTCTCCACAACCCTCCTACCAGCATGCTCAGCCCAGGATTGCTCCAGCCAGGCCTCCTTTCACATGCCATCCTGTACCCTCTGCAGCTGTTCCAGCCCCTTTGCCCTCCTCCAGGGGAGAAGTCACATGCACACAGGGTCCTCCTGGGCATGGCACTGGCAGGGGCTTTCTCCCTGCAAAGATCTGAGCTCCCTGTCGTCGAGGGAAGAGGTTTCCACAGTCTGCAGAGAGCATGGGCACAGTAACCTGGGAGCACTGATGTCCGCTCAGAAAGCGGGTGGCTGCCCACAAAGAAGAGCAAGGCCAGAGCCCTCCAGGAGCTAAGAGCACTGGGGGTGATCAGGTGAATTCACTCAGGTTGTAACACCTCCAGAGAGCTTCCCCCACCGGGATAGAGGCTCACACCGGATTCTCCAGGGACCAAGAGACACAGGAGGATTTTTGGTTAAATAGCCTGAGTTACACTGGACCCAGAGCCTTCCTCCTGATGCCACTAACAGGCAGGACCGCTGGTCTATGGCAGACTCTGATCCTTAGCTAGGGCTGGAAGGACTTTGGCTCACTGAGGCCCCACACCACTGTGGGCGTGTTCTGAGCAAAGGGTGTTATGAGCTGGGAAGCACAAGAAAATCCCATGATGGCGTTCGAAGGGCCGCTCACCTGCCCGAGCCCATGCTGGAGCTGGGGGACCGCTGGTAAGCTTAGTAGCTTGTGTGTAGGTTCTTTTCCTCTCTGTGGTGCTTTTCCCTCAAGAATCAATGGGTTTGCTTCACAAGGGCCAGGAGGTAACATCACCATGGCAGTTATACTGTGTACCAGCTTGAGGAGAGGAGTGAGGCAGGCCTGCTGAGGCAGCCGGTCTTTTGCTGGGGAGGTCACAATGTAGGCAGAAAGTCAAACAGCTTGGAAATGCCCCGGTGAGAAGGGAGAAACATGGGTCACCAAGAGAGGTGATGGCAGGGGAATCGGGAGCTGAGGCTGGGTGTCCATGCTAGCCCACAGAGGGGGAGTCCAGGCACAGCCTCGCAGCCAGAGAGAATCTTCCAGGGCCAGAAGGCTCGCTGCCAGCTGCAGTGCAGACATGCACAAGGTGAGGCCCAAAATGGCAGGCGGAAGGGAGTAGGTAAATGAGAAGTAGCCCTAGCTAGCCAGATTCTGACTGGCCCTTGCACCACTGCTGACATGGGAACGTCCAAGGTGGGGGCTGCTGTGTGTAATGGGCTGGGCACCTGCCGGCAGCTCTGCATAGGGCACCAGGGCCTGTAGAGAGCCTGAGATGGCGCTCCTGCCACTGCCTGGGTGTGGGGCTCACCTTGCTGTTGGGCCGTTGCAGCTCCGGAGGTGGTGGGACGCCAGCGGTATGGACGGCCTGTGGACTGCTGGGCTATCGGTGTCATCATGTACATCTTGTAAGTATAGGGAGGGGAACACAGACTGGGGTCCTGGAGTTCTGAGCCTGGCTTGCAGGCTAGCTGAGGAGGGGGCCAGCCAGAGACTGGGTCAGGGAGCAGAAGATATGTTTGTGGAGGAGATGGTAGTTGGAGAGATGAGTATGGGGGGTGGAGCCAGAAGCTGGGCCAGGAAGCTGATATTGGAGGGACAGGGACAAATGGACTGGGCTGTAGAGTCAAGGACATGGTGCAGGGGTGACAGCCAGAGACCACATCCAGGAAACTAGCTGAGAGAGTGAGCCAACAACCAGGGCCTGGACCTGGACCCTAGGGAAGAGGGCCGGAGACCAAAGGGGCCCTGGGGAAGGGGGCCAGAGAGCGAGGGGACCAGAGAGCGAGGGTCCCCAGACCCCAGGGAGGGGAGCTGGAAGGGCCCCAGGGAAGGGGGCCGGAGACCAAGGGGCAGTGATGGGGTAAGTGGAGCCAAGGTGTAGTGAGCGCTGGGCCAGGCCAGGCATGCTCACCGCCCCGACGTTCTCGCCCCACGCAGGCTGTCGGGGAACCCACCCTTTTATGAGGAGGTGGAAGAGGACGACTACGAGAACCATGATAAGAATCTCTTCCGCAAGATCCTGGCCGGCGACTATGAATTTGACCCGCCTTACTGGGACGAGATCTCCCAGGCGGGTGAGGCTCGCTCGCCTGGGGGCATGGCTGGGCATCTGGGTCCAGAACCAGCGTGATGCTCGCTCAGAGTCCCACTCGCAAACCCAGCCCTGAGAGCCAATGGAACAGAGGAGCCCATGTAGGCGAGATTCACCCCCATGCAGAGCCTGCAGAGCCCCCGCTGCGGGGACCCCATACACTCCTACCCTCCCTTGAGAGACCACTCAGTGGGAGAGAGGAAAACAACAGTTACTGCCAGTCCTGCTCTATGGCAACCCCAACCCAGTCCTCGTCACCTCCCCTCCCCCCCGACCCCGCCCTGTTCTACAGAATTGCAACCCATCCTCATCCCACCCCTACCAGTGCTCTTCTACAGGATCCTAACCCCATCCTCGTAAGCCCCCCCCACCAGTCCTCTTCTGTGGGAAGCCAGCCAACCCCATCCTCATCCCGCCCCCGTCAGCCCTGTTATATGGGACCCCAACGCCATCCTCATTCCACCCCCCCACCAGTGCTGTTCTGTGGGACCCCAACCACGTCTGCGTCCTGCCCCTGCCAGCCCTGTTCTACAGGGACTGCAACCCTGTCATCATCCCACCCCAGCCAGTCCTGTTCTGTGGGACCCCAATCCTGTCCTCTTCCTGGCCAGCCCTCTTCTACGGGGTCCTAACTCCATCCTCATCCTGCCCGTGCCAGTCCTGTTCTATGGGGACACCATCCCCTCCCCCTCCTCAGCCAGTCCTGTGGGGGTTAGTGACTGTCCAGGGAGTGCTGTCCCTGGAGTGGGGGGTGGGAGGCAGGGCACAGCGGGATGGGGCCTGCTCCAGGAGTGAAGGCCCAGTCCCCATCCCAGGCTGCCCTGTGGGAGAGGAGTCGGATAAGAGCTGTCTGAGCAGCCTGTGCAAGCCTGGTCCCTGGGGAAAGCAGTGACCAGCCATGGCGGGCGCATGCTCCCTGCCCTGCACAGACCTTTCCTGGTGATCGGTCGGTAGAGCCCCCTGCCACCCCTTCCTCCAGCAGAGCAGCCAGCCACAGAGGGCTTTGGGCTCCTTTGTTCCTCTCCATTCTCCGCCAGCCCCACTCCTCTGCGGATGAGAACAGGGAGCTTGAGCGTCCACTACCCGCCACCATCCCCTTTCGAGCCGTGCCCCAGCATATGGCCGGCCTGAGCACTAAGCGCCTTCTTCCCACTTGCTGTCTCTGCAGCTAAGGAACTGGTGACCCGTCTGATGGAGGTGGACCAGGACCAGAGGATCACAGCTGAAGAAGCCATCTCCCACGAGTGGTAAGGCAGCGCTGGTGACTCCAGGCGAGGGGCCTTCTGGCAGGAGGACCCTGGAGGGATGGAGGGGACACTGACTAGTATCGTGAGAGTTGGGAGGGACATGAGACCCCAGCTCCACTTAATGGTGCCAGGGGAAGAGCTGGGTGCAGGCTGGAGGTGGTGGGGACTGGGTGGGTGGAGCGCCCCACGGGCCCCCTGGGTTAAGGGGGGAAGCAGAGTGTGGGAGCATGGGGCTGGGAGGGCAGCTGGTCATTGACGTGTGTTTCTGCTTCCAGGATTTCTGGCAACGCCGCCTCCGATAAGAACATCAAGGACGGCGTCTGCGCTCAAATTGAGAAGAACTTTGCCAGAGCGAAGTGGAAGGTACATAGCTCTCGCCCCATGCTCAGGTGCTTCCACCCATGGGGAGCCCTGAGCAGAGCAGAGAGGAGATCTCAGCCTCCCCCTGCACCATGTTCTCCACAGTCAGGGTAGGAAGGGTAATCTGGGAGTGGGGAACAGGCCTGGGATTGCACAGATCAGCAGTCAGTTCCCAGCTGAGCCACCGACACCCTGGGCCAGTCACTGAACCTACCCTGGGTCTCAGTCCTGCTCTGGACCACAGGGTGTGGTGTGGAGGGAGGATCTCGCAGTGATGGGTGCAGAGAAGACAGGAGGGCCAGGTGAGTACCGAGACAGAGAGGTCTCTGGTGTCCCGCTCTCAGGCAGGGCTAGGAAACCAGCCTGTCAGCAGGCAAAGCTGCTCCCACTGCGGCTCCAGCCCCTCTGCTGCAGCTGTCCGGGGAGCTGCCAGGAAGGGATCCATCAGGTGAAGGGCCCCAGAGGAAGGCAGAGGATTAGTATGCTCAGAGGGGGCTTGAACTGGGCTTTTCCAGACCCAGTTGCCACTGGGTTTCTTTCTTGTTTAACATTCACTCTGTATTTCCTGGCTTTGTAATGCTCAGGTCTCACATCAGGGGTCTCAAACACGCGGCCTGCAGAGTTATTTCCTGCGGCCACCAAGCTCCTCTCCCCCACCGCCTCCCACCCTTCCCCCCTAGCACTCTGCGTCCCAACTCCTCTGCCTACCTCCAGGCGCTTCCCACCACCAAACAGCTGTTTGGCGGCACTTAGCACTTTCCAGGAGGGAGGGGGGAGGAGCGGGGACACTCAGGGGAGGAGGCGGAGAAGAGGCGGGGATTTGGGGAAGGGGTTGGAATAGGGGCAGGGAGGGGGCGGAGTTGGGGTGGGGACTTTGGGGAAGGGGTTGGAATGGAGGTAGGGAAGGGGTGGGAAGAGGTGGGGCAGGAGCGAGGCCTTATGGAAGGGGTAGAGTGGCGGCGGGAGGGGTGTCAGTGATGCGGCCCTCAGGCCAATGTACTAGTCCTCATGTGGCCCTTGTGGTGATTTGAGTTTGAGATCCCTGTCTCACACAAACTCTCCAATAGCAAGGTCCTGCCATAGCCAGCATTGGACACTGCCTCAGTTTCCCTAGAGTTTCAGTCAGTCACCGACTCCCAGTGCTGGCCCATCATTGTAGTGACCTAACCCTCTGGAGAAGTCTGAAAGAGCCACCCCTTTTGGGGTAATCAGAGTCTGTCCATTGTCCCCTTAACAGCAGGGGTCACTGCACCCCTCCCCCCCCACACACACAGGGCGGCAGCCTAGGGAGAATCTGTGCGCACCCCCTGCTGAGGGTATCCAGAGCCCTAACAACTGGGCTGTCAGCCCCCTTAGTCCAAATTACCCTGTGTCCATCTCAGAACCTCTCCTTATGCTCCCACTCACCCCTGGCCGGCCAGGGCTGCTGTCCTGGGGATCTTCTCCAGTCTGCCTGGACCACAGGCCTGTACCTCTCCTCCACCTGGGAGGGCAAGCCAGGTTTGGCCCAGCTGAGCCCTAGCCTCCTTAAAGGGCCAGCTCACCCTAGGGCACCTCCCCAAGCATAGTGTTGACCCCAAAAGGAGGCTCCACTGTTGCTATTGATTTGCATGGTTGGAGCCCCGGTACTGTGGTGATGGGCGGCTGTATACAAGCCCAAGTCAAGCAGGCAGTATGACACCATATAATTCTGGGGTAACTGCAGCATCCCCATAATGTCTGTTCCCTTTGAGACTTGGTCTACACTTAAAATGTAGCAGTGCTCAGAGGTGTGAAAAAATTCACCCCCAAGGGCTGTAGCTAAGCCTACCCAACCCCCGGCATAGACCCTTCCATTAACCTGGCTACCACTGCCTGGGAAGGCACGTTTCCTGCAGCAAGGGGAGAACCCTTTCCATCAATGGAGGAAGAGTCTACACTAGGTTTCAGAGTAGCAGCCATGTTAGTCTGTATTCGCAAAAAGAAAAGGAGTATTTGTGGCACCTTAGAGACTAACAAATTTGTCTCTAAGGTGCCACAAGTACTCCTTTTCTTTTTGCGAATACAGACTAACACGGCTGCTACTCTGAGACCTGTCATTATGCAAGGCACTGAATTTAGCCGTATGGAGTGGAAATCTATTAAAAATTTGTTAGTCTCTAAGGTGCCACAAGTACTCCTTTTCTTTTTGTCTACACTAGGGCACTCAGTGGCGGTGCTGCAGCTGTACCACTGGAGCACTCATGGTGTATCCATCCCCTGAGTCACTGGTCACAGAGCCTGGCTCTTGCCCCTGCACGCTGCACTTGTTTGGGGGAGCTGCAGGGCTGGGAAGGCTGGGGCAGACAGAGGGGCACGGAGCAGTGGGCAGGATGGAGGAGGAGGTAGGAGCTCAGTGTGGGGGCAGAGGGCCAGTCAGCAATGGTGAAAGACCACCCATGCCGTGGTGACCGATGGGATTCCTCCCCTCCCCGCAGAAAGCCGTGCGAGTGACCACGCTTATGAAGCGGCTCCGTGCACCCGAGCAGGCTGAGCCGGCAAAGCCGACCCTGCCAGCTGCCGCCATGCTGGACAGTGCCACCTTGCCAGCCCCCGCCACTGCCACGCAGCCTGCGGCCACCGCCACACCTGACAGCACTGCCCCAACAGCGGGAGCCCCAACTACGTGTAATGGAGAAGAAGCCACTGCCCCCAGTGCCACCCCCGAGGCCTGGACCGAGGAAACCGGCTGAACAGGAGGGATGGGGTGGGGAAGCACTGGATCTCTCATTGTACATAGTTGCTGGCATGGTATCCAAACCTCCCTGGCTCTCTGTCTGTCCCTGCTATGTGCCTGTCTGTCTGACTCTGTCTACCCCCAGCTGGGCCACTGCACAGAGCTTCTATTTTCTATGTTCCTGAGCCTGGAGCGACCCAATAGGCCCAGTTGGACAGACAGAGGCAGAAGCAGAGCCCCTTGCATGGAGTTTTCTCTCTCTCCCTTTGCTTTTCTTTTCTCTGTCTCCTTTGGTGGCTTTGTTGGTTTCCTTTCCTCACTGGAGGCTGCTCTCTGAGTCTGCCCACTCACTGAACCACCTGATCCCCCATCACTGGGCCAAGCGAGAGGAAGCCGGCACGTCAGGATCAAACACAACCACCCTCCTGAGTTCCAGATCCAATTGGGAGCCTGGACACAGATCCAACTGTGTCCATACCCAGCACTTGTGTGTGTGTGCATTTACATACAGCTGCATGTATGTGCTGTGTGTCCATTGCAGTGTATGTGTCTCCGGACATGGGGTGTTTGTGTGGGTGTCCATATGAATTAGTGCGTGTCTGGGTGTCTGTGATTATACATTGGTGTGTGTGTATGGGTCTCTGGGTGGGTGGGTGTGTCCATATGTGTATCCATGGGTGAACAAGTGTGCGTTTATTGGGTGCATTCACCCTGGGAGTGGGGAGAGAGGCAATCCTGAGCCATTTAGGGAAGGATCTGAGCACCAGTCTGGAGAGCAGCAGCTGAGCTGAGCTGGCTGGAGGGGTGGGGTGACAAGGAGGCAGGGAGGGCTTGAGATTCAAGTGGCCTAGGACAGGGATGCTGCACTTAGATCCCAGATAAAGCTTCCCATGCAATTGCTGGCACCAGTGGGACTTCCCCTCTCATGCCTACAGGTTCCTGTTGAATCATAGGATCATAGAAGATTAGAGTTGGAAGAGACCTCAGGAGGTTATCTAGTCCAACCCCCTGCTCAAAGCAGGACCAGCCCCAACTAAATCTTCACAGCCAGGGCTTTGTCAAGACAGACCTTAAAAACCTCTAAGGATGGAGATTCCACCACCTCCCTAGATAACCCATTCCAGTCCTTCACCACCTTCACCGAGCTTGCTTGGAGCTTTGGGTGATGTGCAGAGAGCAAGTGGCCTGGGTGTCCCTCCTCCCTGCTGTAATGGTGGCATCTGGCCCCATGGACTGCAGACCTGCCTTCCTCCCCGTGGATGAGGGAGATGCCTGAGCATCAGCGCTGCCTCACCCTGGCCAGTAAGCACTGGGTATGTCCTGTATCTCCCTAATCTGCATCCACAGCAGGCTCCAGAAGGGGCTGGATCCACGTGGGGGTGAGACACATCATCCCTACACTCTGCTCCGCTGCTTTAGAGCCTGAACCCACGGCAGATACAGACCAGACTCCACTGACTCACAGTGGCATCCTCCCAGCATGACACTTTTGGTCTCACTGCTGCCTTCACAGGCTCACTGGTGTCACTGACAGCAATGGTCCTGCTGCCAGGCTGTGGGCACCAGGGCTGCCTGTGGTGGCTCAATGTGTGGAGGAGCCCAGCATTTGTGCATCACGGCCACCGCTGGAGCAGCGCTGGGAGGAACAAGGGGGCTGCTGGGAATGTCCAAGGGGCTGCAGACCCCTCACAAGAGGTGCCTCTGTAGCTGTCCAGTGGCCATCACAAACTCCGCATGGCCAGGGACTAGAACCGCAGCCCTGCTGAAAGCTGGCCCCCAATCCCTGTGTGTGCTGATTCAAAGGTGTGCAGGAGCTCTGGGTTGGCCTGTTGGAACAAGGGGGAGCAGGGAGGGGTTGGGGGTTGACTCATCGCCAAAGCACTGTCCTATGCCTCTTTCTACAAGAACAGCTTTGCCATTGTCCAGGCTGATTATGGTGTTTGCAGCCCACGTGTGACAGCACACAGCATGTCTATGGGAGCAGTATGGTGAGTGTGTGAGACTTATATGGCACAGCTCTGGTCCCGGCTTTGGCTGTGTGAGATTCAGCCCCTGCTCGATGTGTTTATGGAGGCTCTGGGGGTGGGAGTGGTGTATATACTCTCGTTGTGTGGATGTGTATACATAGTGACCCACGTGTGCCCTGTTCAGCACTGTGTAGTCTTATTTCCTCCCGGAGGCTTAACCTGGGGCACATAGAGGTTCTGTACTGTGGAGGCTGAGGCCTGGGCCCATCCAGTCCGAGCGGGGCTTTCCTGACTGTAGTGCTGGACAGTGGCCCCTTGCAGAGTTGTGTTCCCTTGCCCCGACCCTGAATTGACAGTTTGCAGAACTAGGGCTGGCCTTAGGGAAAATGGTGCCCTGGTCCCTGCTGCCTCCTCTGGCCCCTAACCCATCCTCCCTGAGCCTTGCTGTCTCCCCCAGCCCCCCATCGCCCCTGCATCAGCAGCTAGCAGTGCACATTTTACCATTTTAGGGTGGGGATGAGCACTGATTGGACTATCAGGTTCTATCAGGATAGCCTGATACGAATGTGGCTTCTGGAACAGAGTGGATCCAAGGTGATAAGATGTTTGGCACGTGGCTCATTGAGCCACTCTTCTGCTCCCACCCCTGATTGTGCTCCTCCCCCATTGCCCTGAGCTCCCTTCTGTGGCCTTGCACCCCAGTCCTGCCCCACTCCTTGTCTCTTTCCCATGGCGCCCCCCGCCCTTCACCCACAGCGCCCACCCTATAAGGCTGGCCCTGTGCTGAACTGTAGCAGCAGGGGGCTTTGTCCTCTTGGGGAGCACATGGTCCGCTCTGGTCTCCAGGCCCATTATAGTGCCCACCCCATGGAGCCAGCCCTGCCCAAGGAGACTTGCTCTGGGCTTGTTTTGTGCTGGGCTGTTTGGGCATATGGCGGTGGAAAGGGATTGGTTTTAGCTGCTGGTAAGCAGAGTCTGGGATCCTACTCTAGCACAAGAGAAGATTTTTCTAGTTTCCTGAGTCATTGCCCATTGGCAAGAATGTGTTTTACAGCTAAATGTTCTAGAGCACTCTGCACTTGTGAAGGTTCTAGATCATCCTAGAGGAGAGCTCCTGACAGCTCTAGGGCATCTCAGGCATCCAGCTTGTGAAGGTCTTGTCCTAGATCACATCACATGCTTGCCAATAAGTGATCTAGATTGCCACCACCCTGTTGAGGTTCTAGAGTTTCCAATGTGAAACCTTATAGGGGCTATAGCAGAGGTGGGCAAACTACAGGCATCCTGCCTGGCCCCTGAGCTCCCGGCTGGGGAGGCTAGTGGCCCCTCCCCTGCTGTCCTCTGTCCCCCACCCATCTCCCAGGCTTTCCAATAAGCCTGTCCTGCTGCTCTGAGCAGCATGGTAAGGGGGCGGGGGGAGGGAGGTTGGATAAGGGGCAGGAGGTCCCAGGGGGCAGTCAGGGGATGGGGGGCGGTTGGGGGGGCGGTCAGGAGACCGGGAGCGGGGGGGTTGGATAGGGGGTGGGGTCCCGGGAGGTTGGGGGATCCTGGGAGGGGGGACAGGGAGCAGGGGGGGTTGGATAAGGGGTAGGGTCCTGGGGGGGTAGTTAGGGACAGGGGTCCCGGGAGGGGGTGGTCAGGGGACAAGGGGAGGGGTTGGATGGGTCAGGGGTCCCAGGGGGCCTGTCAGGATGCAGGGGTGTGGATAAGGGTCAGGGCAGTCAGGGGACAGGGAACGGGGGGGTTGGATAGGGGGTTGGGACCCGGGGGGGGCAGTTAGGGCTGGGGGTGTCCCTGGAGGGGGCAGTCGGGACAAGGAGCAGAGGGGTTGGATGGCTTGGGAGTTCTGAGGGGGGCAGGAAGTGGGAGGGGGCAGATAGGGGGCAGGGGCCAGGCTGTTTATGGAGGTACAGCCTTCCCTACCTGGCCCTCCATACCATTTTGCAACCCCGATGTGGCCCTCGGGCCAAAAAGTTTGCCTGGCCCTGGGCTATAGAGTGCTCCAGAAATATTGCATTCTGGTGGAATGCACAGTCTAGAGCTTGGATCAGGATCTGTCCCACCCTGCCCCAGTTTAGGGTGCAGCCTTATCTAGTGCTCTAGTGAATGAGCCATTGGGTGCTGGTTAGATACCACTCTACCATGTGGTCACAACCGTGGGAGCCTGAACAACCCCACCCGATGCTTTAGTTCAAAGGCCTAGAAGTAGTCTTGTGAAGGCATTTGCCTGCCTGTTCCTAGGTGCAGGGTGCTTGCAGCACTGGCTATCAGTTCTTTGAAGGGTAGGGGAGAGCAGTCCAGATGAGAGCCCTGTGAGCTATGCTCACTTGACGAAAGCCCCTCAGGTACCCCCGGGTCAGGCCTGGCCCATCAGCCCCCTGTGTCCCCTTCCCCTGGCCCCAAACTAAACATAGGAGGGAAGCCTGAGTCCCGCTGTGACGGGCCTGCAGAGTTGACCTGCCATCAGTGGGGCGTTCTCCACAGCTGCCTGCCCCAGGGCCCTCCCAGCCTGCGGTTTTCTGGGCTATGGTCCCACCACTCCAGCTTTACTTTCCCCTTGTCCTTGATTTGCAGCTGCATGTTTGTAGGGTTGAGTTCTGTCTATGAAACTTTTATTTCCACTACGACCACCCAGAAGCTCCTGTGTGATCGCTGCACTGTACCACTGGCAAATAAAGACCTTCTGAGGACAAACCGAGAAAGCACCAGCCATACCTGCTCTGTCTCTTTGTCTGCCCTGCCAATGAACTCTGCCCTTCTAGGGGCCAGTTCATACACCAGGCTGCTGCCAGGAGCAGATCCTCTAGCCAGCTGCCATGCATGCCTCTGTGCCTCAGAGCTGAGCTGGGGGAAGAGTGGGTGGGACACAGATGCTCTGGGGGCTGGAAGGAACAAGGGGTGGGGTAGGTAGAGGTGCAGCTAAGAGGAGGTTAATCACCGAGTCTTGGGGATTCCCCCTCCCCCCCCGCCTCTAAAATCCAGCTCATCTGATCTCTGCTGTCCTGTGGGCAGGCACAGCACCCCCTCTGTCTGCTATGCACAGACTGCAGCACAGTCTGCTCCAAAAGGGGTTGGGAAACGGCTGGGAGCAAGCCTCAGAGCACCGGAGTGTCTAGCATGGCAGCAACTCCCCAGATGTTCTTCCCCCAGCCCTGGGCCAGGATGTGGCCCTGGAGAGGGGACCCCACCTAATAGCCACTGCATGCTCCAGGGATGAGGAGCAGATCCCCTAGTTCTCACTGATATCGTGCAATGGGGCCAACAGTCCTTGTGAATGGGCAAGGAAATGGGATCAAAAAGGAGGATTGCGATCCAATCATCGGCCACTCCCAAGCTGATGTTTCAGATGTTTCCCAGAATCCTTTGCACTGGTGCTCCCATGATGCTTCATTGGAAGGTCTGTGGGAAGCAGGATGGTTTGTTGGGTTCTCCTGGCATATGAGGAGACAAAGGCTTGAGACAGCATGCTACAGCAGGAGCCGTCTGTTAAACAAATGGTACATCATTACAAATGTAAGAGAGCTGGATGGTGTCAGGGTAGCTGGAGATTTTGGTGGATGAGTAAGGGTCAGCTGGGACTTAACGTGCCCACAAAGCCAGGGGAGTCCTTGTGAGCACATGATTAGATGGTCCTGCTATAACGATTGGCAGTGGGATAGTTGGAGTTGATAATCAAATCACCATCATTAGGTTTCAGATTTAACACTCCCACAGAGATGGATGGAGCAGCTCACACCTCCCAGAGCTATGGTGTTGGGCTTTTTGCAGCCCTGGACACATGGCAGTGTCAGTGACACTCAGGCCACATTTGCCAGGTGGTGGGCTGGAAACAGGATTGTTTAATGGAAGATGAGACTCTGCACCCAGTCCCCTAACAAGAGACAAACGGTGTTCCATCCCCCAGGTCCCGCCCCTTGAGTCTGCAGGCCCTGCCCCGACTCACACGCCCCACCCCATGAGCGGGCCTTACAACAGCGCACACGGCGCCCTGAATGTGCGGCCCCCGCCCCACGCCCCAGCTGTGCGCTCCGGCCGGTCAGGCTGGGGCGGGGCTAAGACCCCGTGCTCCCGTTAGCCTCGCCCCAGAGAGCCCGCTGGGGCCAGGCGGGGGAGCAACTGGAGGAAGCCGGCCCCGCCCCCTCCTCAGCCATGTAGCGCGACGGGGCGGGCCCCGCGCCTTTCCCGGGGGCGTCATTTCCGGCTCATGCCGGAAGCCACCTCGGAATGAACCAGATTTGAACTGGTAACGCGATGCGAACCGGGGCGACCTCCCGCTCCGGGACCGAGCCCATCTCCCGCGAGGGCCCCGTCGTCAGGGGGCGGGGGATGGCTGGGGCAGAGCGGGAAGCCGGGCGGGAGCTGGCCCGAGTGCCCCGCTCGGGCTGCCCGCCGTTTCCTCGGCGCCCTGTCCCGGAGAGAGCCGCTGCCGCCTACACCCGCGCGTCCGCCCAGCCAGGCGGGCCCCGACCCGGGCAGCCTCCAGCCTGTGCTCGGCGCGAGTCCCCGGCTCGTTCCCTGCTGCAGCTTCCAGCGTGACAGCTGCTGTGACCCCGACGGGACGCTGGGCTCGGGCCCCGGCTCGCGCTGGGAGCTCGCGTCGCCCTTCCGGGCTGGCTGCAGTCTGGGGGGGGGGGCACGTGGCTCCCGGTGGGACAAGTCTCTACAGCCACTAGGGCAAAGTCAAGATTCTGCCCCATCTGGGTGTATCGTGCTGGGCACAAACACGTCGTGTGGGCTGGATGTATCCTGGGGACAGTATGTTTGACACCCGTGCCATATACAGCAACATCTCCTTAATCCCCACCCATGCCTGGCCATGAGTACTATGAATAGCAGCATGCCCTGCATATTATACCCTACAGTGCCTTCTGTGCCATCCCTCTGACCTGCCTGCAGCTCATAGTGGGTCCCCCCGTGCCATCCTAAATGTCAGGTTATGCCCTGTGTATAGCAGCCTGGCCCCTATGCCAGCTAAAGATCCAAGCTTCTGAGGCTGTTTGGTGTTGGTTTGGGAGACAGCCCCGCTGAGGCTGGTGTGTTCATCTCTCCTTGCATAGGCCAAGGAGAGGTGCTTCCCTGGTTGTGCTGTGGCAGCCTCTTGGATGTCAGTCGGAACAATAGAGGATGCCTATCCGTGCCCACTGTACCATCTGCTCGGATTTCTTTGACAATCACAAGGATGTGGCAGCTATCCACTGCGGACACACCTTCCATCAGGAGTGGTGAGTAGACATGGACAGCATGACAGGTAGTGGTAAAAACATGCATCTCCTTCAACTGCTGAGTTAATATGTCTTATGATGATGTGAGTATCTCTAGCGAAACGGAGGAAGTGCCTCTCCAGTGTTTTGTTCTTGTGATAATCTCTTGTCTTTCTGCATTTCAGTCTCTGAACTCTTCAGCCTCCTCTTCTCCAATCCTGCTGTTTGCAAATGTTATAGTTGAAGGGGATGAACACAGACATTAAAAACCATGCACCTTATGCCTGGCTGACCCTTCTTGCTTTTTGAAGGGGTGGGTTGACAGATTGTTAGTTGGCCATCATCATAGTGCAGGTTTCTAAAAGTTGGGCTTTTTCTGTTTCTGAGAGATGGAGAACTAAAATAACAAGAGGTTCTGTGGGTTGGCATTGAGCTACGTTGGTATAGTTGTGTATTAGGAGCACTGGAATTGCAGGGGAGCTGCAGATCAGCACTGAAGTGCTTTGGCAGAGTTGCAGTGCCGCTGAGGGCTGTAGCAGGGAAGGGGAGGCAGTTCTGCCAATGTAATGCAAAACGGAGCAATGTGGGAAATTCTGCATGGTTCTTGACTAGTTAGTGCTGATTGTAGCTAGGCAGATTGAGTGCCTTATACGCAAAAGTAGTAAAAAGTACTTAATTTGTCTTAATGTTGTTTTTTGTAACATGGCATCCTTGAAGGCTCTCAGAGTGCTTTTTGAATATTAAAGTCCCACAGTGCCACTGTGAGGTGGGTAGATATCTCACCTCTTCATTTTAGTGATGAGGAAAAGTGAGGCAGAGTGGAAGTTAACTTTCCAAGCTTACAATAAGCCAGTATCCGTTTGGAAACAGGAATCGAATCCTAGTCCTGTGCTGTTAATACTCTGAGACTAAAGGAAATGTGGATTAGGCCCATCAATATACAGACTTCAAGATATGTTTTTTCCCTGTGATGTTAAATTGAAACTCATTTTTTTCATTAAAATGGAGAAATGCCAAACACGCTAAATATGTCTGTATGCCACAGGCTCTCCCCTCTTGAGCCATATGTTAAAGAAGCTTTTTTCATGGTGACCCAAACTAAGATTCTGTACCAGGGCCTAGTGTCACTTGTTGGCTCATATGATTCTCCTTGGGAAGTCTTATTTCTGAGTTTCTCTTGACTGCCAGACAAATAAATAACTCTGGTAACTGAATATCCTCTTTCCTCTTAGCAGCTTCCTTCCCTTGTAGAAAACACCTCTGCTGTTCAAGTCTTTCTCGTCTCATTTCTTCCTTCCATCTTTTGTGTTTTGTCTGTTCTCTGTCTTCCACAATTCCCTCTCTCTCCCCTGAACCTCCTTCTCACAGTGACCCTTCTTCTGGCTAAGGGTGTGGTGCTTGGGCTTCCTTGATTGATTTTTCACTTTGTTGGAGGAATGTGCTAGAGTGAAATGGGGCTGAAACTTGCAATGCTCTTGAACTCTGATGCGGGTGCTGCTCCCTCCCCCTTCACGCTTGTCCCTTCCCCATCTGTGGTCTTGGTTTCCTTGCCTTCTCCATCAGAGATACCATTGTGTTGCTTCTACACAAAGTGCTTGTCCATGCGCTTCAGCAGGAGCAGGCTAAAGACAAAACAATCCTAATCAATTCCATGCTTTTGCTGGAGTTCCTTTGCAAGTGATTTGAGCTGGAGGCATGTGCTCTTCCTGTGGGATCAATTGAGTGTGTGGGGGGAGGGGGGCAGAGGGGACATGTTTTACCAGGGTGCGCTCATCCACATCAAAATGAATCACCCTGGCGATGGTCACTGACTTTAATGAAAAGAACATCTGGGGATCGCTTTGCTCAGTAATGGTTTGGCGGGGGGGTAAGGGGAACTGTGCCCTTTGGATATGACTGGCTAAGCTATTTGTTTTGCTGCCAGTAATCACACAGTTCTTAAGGTGCTCTGAAGACCCAATTCCTAACATCAGACTGCACAGTCTTCTCCACATGCTGTTCTCCTGGGGAGCTTAAAGCATGTCCCAAACATCCTCCATTTGATAGAAATTATTCCTCTGTTTCCTGGTAGGTTAGCAATGTAGCCCTTGGTTGACAACCTTTAGAACAGATGATCTTAAATTCTAACAATTCACTGTATATTTTTTTTTCTCTTTCTCCCGCAGTCTCATCCAGTGGTTTGACACTGCTCCGAGTCGGACTTGTCCACAGTGTAGAATCCAGGTAAATCCTTAATCCTGAATAAAACACTGTATTTCTACATCCCAGTGCTGTCTACCAGCACTGTCAGAGCTCAGGCCTGAGGGCACAGTGATGGCTCACAGAGGCGTTGATGGCATGCAGAGATTGGCTGTCACCTCTCAGTCACCATCAGACTGTGCTGGACGTCACTACTTACACTCTAGCAGAGAGGCTAAGGAGTGAATGGGCCATGGAGACTGAAATCCTCCTTCGAAGCCTCTCCAGGCCAGATTGGGGCACATTGGGAAGCATGTTTTGCTACTGCCAGGCCTTCAGGGCTTTTACTGTGGCAAAACTTCACTAGCACTAAATGGAAAAGGGGTGGAGGGAGCTAGGAAATAATCTAAGCCTGAGATTTTTATTACAGTACTTCCTAGCTTCCCCAGCTGAGATCAGGACACTGCACATACACACAGTGAGAGACAGTCCCTGCTCTGGAGCACTGAGCCTAAAGAGGGGAAAAAAGACAGCGGGTGGGAGACAGGAAGGATTATCTCCCTTCTACAGATTAGGAACCAAGGCACAGAGATTCAGTGACTCACTCATGGTCACCCAGGGAGTCTGGGCAGAACCAGGAACTGAACCCAGCTCTTCTGAGTCCCAGTCCAGTGCCTGAACCCCAAGACCATATTTCTTAAGTTAGTCTGGTTCTTGTGCCTCACGTTACAGTGATTATCAAGATTGGGGGTCTTGGCTTGTGCTAGGGTGTATTGGCTATACTCTGAGCTGAGTTACATGGAGGAGTCAGTTCGCAGCCAGCATGTTAATTTTATAGGTGTGCTCCTGTCTTTTTCTTTTCTTTCAAGGTCTTGGCCCTTGTTTCTTCCCTGACTTGTTGATTCCCTGTATTCTTCACCGCCTCTTACATCTCTGGGTTACCATGGAGTTACTCACAAAATAACATCTTATGTAGCAGTAACTATGCAATTAGCTGGTGTCATGACTGCATATAATACTTAAAACACAAAGCTGTAACGGCATGGGGGAGGTAGGGAGAGCTACTGCACTCAATTAGAGCACCCTCTGCATACAGAGAGCAGCACGTACTTCTGTGTTTGGATTTGGCACTGGGTGAGTTCAGCATCAGCTGCTGGGTCTGAGCTGCCAAAGAACGAGCTGCTCTTGACTCAGAAATGCCTGAGTCTTTCTGTCATAATTCCAGGATCTTGCCTGGAGTGACGGCTGTAAATCTCAATGCTTGGGTGACAGATCCAAAACAGGATTTCACCATAGAGATGCCAACTGTGTGAACTGATTTCCACCAGCCATACCACACATTAACATCTTGTGATGGGACAGTAACCTTCTCCCATTGTAGCTGTCTGCCTAGCAGGAAAGGTTCTCCCTGCATTTTCACGCTCATGACTCTCGTCCTTTTCCATGTCTTACCTAGGTCAGCAAAAGACACATCATCAATAAGCTGTTCTTTGATGTTGCCCTGGAGGAGCAGACATCACTGGATGCAGAAAGCCTACAGGTATTCTGATTGAGTTCTCTTAACAGCAGCCTGGAGCCACAGTCTGTCCCAACAGCTTCTTTCAGTTACTGGTGGAGTCTCTAAACAGTCCTGGGTTTCAAAGGTGGATGTTGGTGTTCTTTCTCCTGTTTGCCTCTCTGCTTTCTGTCCTTGTCCTCGCCACTGAGGTCAGCTCAGCTCTTCCTGCTGAACACCTTCACGTGGTCCCTGCTTTTCTTTCAAATGAGGAAGCCATCTCCACCCCTTCGCTACTTCCCCTTCACTTGTCATCTTCCCTGAAGCCCTTCCCATATGTTATAACTGTTCAAACTCCTGTTCTTGAGGCTCCTTGATTGTTGTGGAAGGCTGGGAGACAAAGCTTTCCTGCAGCCTGGTGTGGAGGGAGTCCTGAGTTCTATCAAGCCAGTCAGCAAACCTTAGAGAACCTGGGCATAGGAGGATGATCCTCTAACTCTCCTGGGGAAGGGCCTATTAAAGGTACACTCAATTTGTTCACTTTATGCATTTAACAGTCCTCTGTGTTTAGATGAGTGTCATAGACTCGCAGGTCATACCCACTCTTGGTCCCGTACAGTCCCTGGGGGAACCTGTCAGTGTGACAGCCCTCCTTGGGGGTCCCCTCTCTCTCGGGGGTTAAGCCCCTCCGCCTCCTGGAACCACACCTCTCTAAGCCTTAGCACGCCTGTCTCTCGCCGTGGGCCCCCTCAGGGAGTTCACTCACTGTGGACCCCCAGAGCCTCCACTCCCAGAGGGAATAATGCAACCCGTCCTCTAGACAGGAGTGACTCTCAGTCAGCGTAAAACAGGAGGGTTTATTGAGCATCTGAGTACAGCATAGGAAACTCTCAGGGCCCTCAGCACAGTACATCTAAGTCTCTCCTGCATCCAGGTGGGCTCTGCCTGCTCTCTGTCTCTCTCCAGCCTCAAGCCCCTGTGCTTTCCAGCTGAGCATCTGATATCCCCTTCCCCAAGCCCCACCTTTGTCCATTGTCTTCTATCCAGGTAAACAGGATCGTCTGGGCCTCCTCTCAGCCGTTCTTTGTTCCTCTCTGGCTGGAACCAGCTGGTCAGGTCACTGGGGTCCTCTCTTTGCAGCCCGTTGTCCTCCCACTGGCCAAAACTGGTTGTGACTCCCGAAATGGGCCTCCAAGTCACCAGTCGCTGGGGTATCCATTCTCCAGGCCATTGGCTGGGGTCCCAAGTTCACTCGCTGGTCCTGCTTAATAACAAACTCTCTCTTCTATCACCTCAGTAAACCAGTAACACTCAGGGAAACTGCGTCCCCCTCCTTGGCATGCAAACCATTGGAAAAAAAAAAACAATAAAACCCCCCACTTCATCACATCTCTCTCTCCTTCAAGTCTGAACTGAGCAGGGTCACTTAGCCAATGACTTAGGGAAGTTCAAGGCCTTCACCCCATGATAAAGCATCGGCTATAACATTGGCACTCCCCCTCACAAAGCTAGGACCATGTCATAACGCTGGAGGAGCAGGCTCCATCTCAGCAGCTTGGCATTAGCCCCTTTCATTTGGTGCAGCCATGTCAGGAGCGAATGGTCAGTGTACACAGTGATGCGCTGCCCAAATAGATCTGGCTGCAACTTTTTAAGGGTCCACACCATGGCCAGGCATTCCTTCTCTGTGGCCACATAGTGCTGCTCCTGGGGCAGCAGCTTCTTGCTCAGGTACACAATGGGGTGTCTCTCCCCCTTAGTATCCGTTTGCATTAGCTTAGCACAGCACTGCACCCAGCCCAGTGTCTGAGGCATCGGTGGACACCAGGAAGGGTTTGTTAAAATCTGTGTTTACCAGCACCAGGCTTTGGATGAGTGCCCCCTTCAGCGCACAGAGAGCCTTCTGGCACTGATCAGTCCAGACCACCTTGTCTGGCTTTCCCTTCCTACAAAGCTCCATGAGGGGAGCTGCCAGGATGGCACAAAGTGCTAAAGTGTGGCACAAACCTCTGGTAGTACCCCTCCATCCCAATGAAAGCCTGGACCTGCTTCTTAGTCTGGGGAGTGGGCCAATCCTTGATTGCCTCCACTTTGGCCAGCTCTGGCTTCAGATGGCCACTCCCCACCTTGTGGCCCAAGTATGACACCTCTGCCATCCCCACTCGTGCACTTTCCAGCTTTTATGGTCAGTCCTGCATCCTGGAGGCGACCCAGCACCCTCTTCACCTTGGACACATGTTCTTCCCAGGTCTGGCTAAAGACACAGATATCATCAATATACGCTAGAGCAAAGTCCTCCGTCTCCCTTAGTAACTGGTCCACCAAGCGCTGGAAGGTGGCAGGTGCCCCCTTGAGGCCAAAAGGCAAGACCAGGAACTCGAAGAGCCCTATTGGGGTGGTGAAGGCAGACTTCGCCCTGGCCTCTGGGTCCAAAGGCGCCTGCCAGTAGCCTTTGGTGAGATCCATGGTAGTGAGGTACTGGACACCCCCCAACTTGTCTATGATCTCATCGGTCCTACACATGGGTAGGCATTGGACATGGTGATCGCATTGAACTTCCAATAGTCCACAGAGAACCGGATCGACCCATCCTTCTTGGGGACAAGCACCACGGGAGAGGCTGGGGCTGGAGGATGGCTGGATCACCCCTAAAGCCAGCATATCTCCGATATCTCTCTCTCTCTCTAGGTCCTGGGCTGTTTTCCCAGTGACCCTAAATGGTGAACACGTGATTGGAAGGTTGGCTCCCATCTCCACCTGATGAACAGCCAGGTTAGTGAGCCCAGGCAAGTTGGAGAACAGCTGCCAGTATGAATGCAGCACCTCTCTGATCTAAGCCTGCTGGGCAAGGGTTAGCTGGTTTGAGAGGGGAATTGATCCCAGTGAGGGGTCAGCCCCTACCTCAGGGAGGAGTCCCACCAGGGGATCCTCTCCCTTCTCCTCCCACTGCCCACACACAGTGAGCACCAACTTCTGCCTGTCCCAGTGGGGTTTCATCATGTTGACATGGTACTCCTGGTGGCGCTATGCGTGATTGGACAGTTCCACTACATAGTTCACCTCATTAACCTGTCTGATGACCTTGAAGGGGCTGTCCAAGGCAGCTTGGACCTTGCTCTTCCTCACAGGGATGAAAAGCATCACCTGGTCCCCAGTAGCATAGGAGCGGGCACCTGCTGAGCGATCGTACCAGACCTTCTGCTTCCTCTGTGCCCTGGCCAGATTTCCCCAGCCAAGCCAATGAGCTCCACAAGCGTTTTCCCAGAAGGTCAGTACATACTCCACCACTGATTCTCCATCGGGAGAGGACTTCCCCTCCAACTCGTCCCCCATCAAGTCTAGAGGTCCTCTTACCCTACTCCGATACAGCAACTCAAACAGGGAAAACCCTGTGGATTCCTGGGGCACTTCTCTGTATGTGAACAGCAGGAGGGGTAAATACTTGTCTCAGTCTTACGGGAGCTGGTCCATAAATGCTTTCAGCATCATCTTTAGGGTCCCGTTGGACTGAAGGTGATATGCTGAGGCCCAGGTGTGTCTGACCTAGGATGACCAGCTGAAACGGACAAAATATCGGAACAGATGGGGGAAGCAAAAAAAAAGGCGGCCGGAGCAGCCAAAGCCACAGAATCGGGACAAATGGTGTCCTGATCGTGCATCTGTCAGGATGCAGGACAAAGAACTAAAAATCAAGACAGTCCCATCTGGTCACCTTAGTCGGACCCCACACTTCTCCCACAAGCACTGGAGTAGGATTGACATGAAGTTGGACCCCTGGTCTGTAAGGACCTCCTTGGGGAACCCCACTCTGCTGAAAATGGTCAGCAGAGCATCTGCCACAGTGTCTGCCTCAATCGAGGACAAAGCCACCAACTTGGGGTAGCACGTAGTGAAATCTACCACCACCAGAATGCATTTCTTCCCCGACCAGGTCACCCTGCTGATGCCCTGATGCCTTTCAAGGGGAATATTGTGGGCCAAGAACAACAGTCTGCGGTGGTACCTCTGGGGAACCACCAACTGCCTCCTGGCTTTCCAAGCTTCAGTTTGCCCCGAACCAACCCATTCCTGGTACAGGACTCCCTTCTCCCACAGGAATCTCTCCTGGTGGTCATCCCCCTGGGATCCTGCACTGCTGTGGCCAGCAAGCCTTCTCCAAGGAGGGATCCTCCTGCAGCTTCATCTGGAATTCAGCTGCTGGGTTTGAGGGTACAGTCCTGGTTTGTGGTGCTTGTTTCCCCACCTTGGGATGGAGGCTCCAGCCCCAGCCCTGTCAAACCCTACCCTCGGTGCTTTGGTCCCCCCCCCTTCCGGAGGTCCTGCATTCCGCTCTGGCGCCAGGTAAGGACCAGGGTGCTTTGAGTGCCTCCAACCAGTTCTCCAAGTCATTACCCATTAGCACCTCGGTAGGCAGGTGATCTTTGGGATCCCTCGTTGGCTCCCCATTTCAGGTATATCCTTGCTACAGGCACCTTGACGGAGGGCCCAAACACTCTCCTCAGGGTCATGTATGCATTGGTCCACCACCTCGGGCCACGCAAGTGTCACCTCTGCACCCATGTCCCAGAACCCCTGGATGCTCCTTCCCCCCACCTCAGTGGGGATGATGTGGCAATTGTCCCCCGGGGCCTGTCCCACGCTCACCCAGCGGATTGAGTATGGGCACTCTGGACCTGGAGCCCCACCTTCTCCTGCTGGCCTCACCTGGCACAGCCCTATCAACTGCGGCCCCCTGGACTGGCAGTGCCCCCACTCAGTGGGCTTCCACCCAGTTGACACCCATTTCTGCTTGGCTGCCATTTCCTTCATCTTCAGGGATTGTGCCACCTTGTGTCCTTTTTGGCCACAGCAATTACATTTCAGGTCCCTCAAGTCCCACGAGGGGCGTCGGCCCACCCCGGCATTCATGGGCACCCCTGAGTTGGGCTTCCTGGAGTCTCACCTTTGAGAGGTCTCTGGGTGATTCCCCTTCTGAGTCCCTGATGTGGGTCTCCCTCCTGCCCCAAATTTGCTGTCCAAAAACTTATTCGCCAGTGCACCTGCAC